ATATTTCCATCAAAAGCATCTCTGAATTTACTATATAATCTCATTCATCAGAACACTGAGAAAAGAAAAGAAACAAAAACAAAATCAAAAAACAATGAAAAATCCTAGATCATTTAGCAGCCATTTGAGATTTAACCAGAAAGCTACCAAAATGGTATTATAAATGGCTATAGCTAAGGTAATTAATTGTTACTCTCCCCTGAAAAGCTCATACAAATACTTGGTTATTATTATTATTTTTGAGTACCTCAGTTTCTCCTAACCCTTATGCTGAAGGTCTATGTTAAAATGCTTTTTAATATAGTTATATAGTACATTTCTTCAATCCCATGATGTTGGTGGCCCAAGACAGAGGTATTCATTTACTAGGTCTCATACTTCCTAAATATATGGTTCTTTTATTTCCTTTTTAGGCTTGGTACTTTACCCAGTGACATAAAGTTAAAGAATTATTTATGCATGAGTAATTTAAGTTTCATTGATCATGTATATAGTTTAATGATTTATGTAATATGTGTCAAACTCTTGAAATTTTAGTGAATGTGCTCTAAAATCTGTGCCAAGTAGAAAAACGAAACAGTATTCATTGAAGGAGAAATACATAAAGATTCAAGAGTTCTTTTCATATAAAATTAAAGTGTTAAGTGTTTTTGGCAGATAAACTAACCAATCTTCAGATCTCTATTTGTTTTCTGTAAATCACCTTGAGGTGGATTCCTATGTAAATATCAAATTCCATAAAATCGAGAAGTATATCTGTGTAACATTAAATGCAAAATTTTAAATAGGGCATTTCTAATGCAATGTCTTCAGATTTTAACTAGAAAAAGAATGAGGATGAAACGGCAGTTTGTGGAACATAAATCTTAGCAACTTTTTTCCCTTCTAGACCAAAGCAGAAGCAAGTATTTCTTGAGGTTGAGGGGAACACTTGAGCACCTGACACCATTCCATTACACAACTCTTAGGCTTTTGTCTGTAGCTAAACTCTTAGACCTTAGCAATGTGAATCTGTTTTGTGTTGCTATAACTTTGATACTTACTCTTTTTGCTTTGATTTACTAATCTGTTTTCAAAATTTCCTTTTAATCTTGTGAAGACATCATGAAAATTTTCATATGCTCACTAGGATCATCTCACTTATAAATATTTTAAGAATTTGTTTGTTATCATTGCAAACATCACCTTTCTAATTCTTAGTACAAAAGACAAATACTTGATGTTTCTCTATCATTAGCATGCATATAAAATAGAAATTATACAATGTATTTTCTTTTCCTTTTTAAACACCACTTCATGTTAAGCATCATGAGAATGTATTTTCAAGGCAGGTGGGATACTTGATCATGTAAGAAAGGTATTAGTCTTAAAATCCAGGTTTAGACCAAAAGATCCTCCAAATTCCTGAAGAACCAGTATTTTATTACAGCAGAGCATTCTGTCCTGGCATGGAGCCTATGCCAACTGTTCTGTGTGAGTTTTGTTCTGTAGTAAAAGAGTAACAGGACATGGAAAAAAAAGTTTGTTTTCCCTTCTGGGATGGATTAAGAGAAGAAAACAGATGGAAGTTAAGTGACGAAAACATTTTTTTTTCTGTTCTCCCACCTCTTGAGTCTGTGTTAGATAGATGAACTGAGAGGAAAGGTGTTCTGGTTCTGTCAATATAGCACTCCTGAGTACCTGGATGTGATAGTATCACTGCCAGTCTTCCAAATGACATTTGTGTCAGACATGTTGTGACAACCGTCACAGAGTCCAGAGTTCATGAGCAGGGGACAGCCAGGTAAGGTTTGCAAACATGTGCCTTTTGTATAAATGATGTTTTCTTGGAACAAAGCCACAGCTCTTATATGAATGGTAGAGATAGAGATACGTTTTTCTCTGAGCTAGCTCACTTTCTACAAGAAAAAAAATAGCCTGTTTTCTGTTTTTTTTATTTTCATGCTGATCCTTGACCTCATACACTCCATTTAACAAAAAGCATCTGACAAGTTATAGTGGTGCATGCCTTTATTCACAGCACTCAGGAGGCAGAAGCAGGTGGATTTCTGTGAATTAGAGGCCAGTCTGATCTACATAGTGATTCCTAGTCCATCTAGGGCTACATTTTGAGACATAGTTTCATAGAAAGGTAAAATAAAATAAAAATGAAAATATGAAACATTTGACTCCATTTTGCATTCATATATTGAACCAAGATGACTCTGGACCCTGATGAGCATATGTACAACTCAATCGGTTTGTTACCTTCAACAAGGCTCTGACCAAAAATATCTTGTTCCTAAAAGCAGTAAGTACGCCACTGTATGCATTTTCTAAAGGAATATGGAACCATAACATGGGCATACTAAAATTATATCAGACAAACCAGGACCAAGAACTTTCCAAACACAACTGAGCAAGTACAACATCCTTATAGGGACACCATAAAGATGAGGACCTGTAACAGTACTGTGTCCGCACTTGATGCCTTTGCATCTGACAGCTTGGTGTGTACATCATGGAACTGATGAGCAGAGAACTCTACCTTCCCTGGAGTGTCATCACTGCTTGGTCTCCAACACTGATGTGCCCTACTCAACTCACAATCAACGGTAGTGTTTGGGTAAGGTCCACACCTTTGTTTGTCTGTGTAGACCCCATTCATCTTTATGGGCTCTTGATCTTCTGCCTTACTTCGGCCGCGCAATTGCATACTAGACTGAACTTAATGGTGACCCGGAATCTCAAACTGTCAACAAATGTTGCTATTCATTTCCCACAGACTATCTTTGCCTCCTACCCACTTTCACCTTTCCTCTAGCAAGGCCTCTTTGAAATTCCCAGAACTTTGTTGCAGCCTTTTTTACTGTTTGTAGCCATTTTAGAACCTATACAGATATAGATACATATAAAGAGATCACAAATATGTTTACTGTGTGATGTATAATGTGTGATTTTAGAGTGAATTGCAGTAGTTAAAATTGTAATAAAATACTCTTTGTTTATTTACCCTGGCTATGTGATCAACAAAATGAAGACCACTTGGCAAATTACAGGCAACAAAAATCATTGTAGTTGGTGATTTATAGTTATTCAATAAATCTTGATATTTCTGACATGGCACACTCACAAACATAACCTCTTATGTGTGGCTGCTTTAAAGTTTCAGGGTCAACCTTTTCCTTATTGCAATGGAAATTGTATGTCCCCTAAGTCTAAATATTTACTTGTAACTTGGCACAAGTGGAGAAAAATGCATTGGTCATGAGAACATTTAGAGAGAAATCATGAGTTGCACCATCATATAAAGTGTTCCATAAACGGGAGTCATACTTCTGGTGACTGACTGTGCCTAACATACACAAATATGAAAGGGATCCTATCAGTTCCTAGGGACAATTATGCTTATTTTTCTCAATGTCTTTATATTGCTAGTTTAAGGAATGAGGAAGAAAATATTTACATGATGTAAGTTGGCAAGCACAAACAATCAGGTCATTTGTTTTATGTGTTTCCAGACAGGTCATTTAGAAAACTTCAAAGCATACCACTGCTCAGCAAACTGACACGTCAGAACTAACCTCCAGCCTTTCATGTCGTATAGTCTCAAATTCAGCCACCCAAAACAGCTAAGAGAAACACTAGGAAGAATGGAAGAAATCTGAATGACTGTGTATTTTCATTAAAATTATAAGAATTATCCAGACTTTATTCACACAGTTTAGTTTTTATCCCTAAAAATGTTTATTAGCATGATTAAACAAATTTTTGAATAGTAACAGAAGGAGTTGCTAAACATGTAAGAGTTATCAGTAGCTCTAACCTATAACCAATATTCGAACTGAGTGGACAGCTTTATTGCCAGTCTTCGTTTATCGAAAACAATCCACGTATTGGTTCCATGACATTCTAACTATAGCCTTGTCTGAGAATGAGTCCCTACAGCAATTAAGTATGAAAAAGTATCTTCCATCATAATTGGAAAGTGACTTGCATTGGAGTGTGACTGAGTAAAGAGTTGATTAAAAATACACAAAGAGTTGGATTTTTTGTTTTTAAAAACACTCCTTTACACACGACAAAGAAATAATTGGTGTTGTGGCTTTTAAAATTCCTATGTGATGCTGAGAATGGCATCCCCAAGAAGTCCCCCCACCCCCCTGCACTGGATGCAGCCCTTCTTGGAGATGGCAGATTCCAGGGGTGGACCCTGAAGACTTAGGCCTCCACATGTTTAGAGTGGGTGAGAACAAAGAAGGAAATGGGAGGTTCGAGTGGAACGGGGACAGAGTGGGAGAGCAAGGAAAGAGATACCAGGATAAATGAAGACATCACGGGAATAGGAAGAGACAGGGTGCTGGGGAAGTTCCCAGGAATCCACAAGGACGACTCCACCTTGGACTAATGGCAATGGTCGAGAGGGTGCCTGAGCTGGCCTATTCTGGTGACTCGATTAGAGAATACCCTAACTGTCATCATAGAGCCTTCATCTAGTTACTGATGGAAGCAGATGCAGAGATCCATGGCCAGGTGCCAGGCTGAGTTCCAGGAATCCAATCAATGAGAGAGAGGAGGAATTCTGTGGGCGGGGGGCATTGAGATCCTGATGGGAAAACAGGCATAGACAAACAGCCACACTAGTGGAAACCCATGAACTGTAGACCAACAGCAGTGGAGCCCCCATTGGACTGGACTAGGCCCTCTGGATACACGAAGCAGTTGTTTAGCTTGAACTGTTTGCCCCTCACCCCCCAGGCAGGGGGAACTGGGATCCATCCCTAGTACATGTGCAGGCTTTTTGGAGCCCGGTACCTAGGGTGTGGCACCTTGCACAGCCTTGGTGCAGGGGGAGGGGCTTGGACCTGCCTCAGCTGAGTGTACCAGGCTCTGCTAATTCCCCATGCTGACCTTGACTTGGGGGACATTAGAATGGGGGGGTTTGGGGAGAGGCTCGGGGTGGGAAGAGGGGGGAATCTGTGGTTGGTATGTAAAGTGAATAGAAAATTTCTTAATAATAATAATAAAACAAAGACAACATTGTTCAGAGCATAGTAATCATTGTACCTGTCATCTTCATACAGGTGTGGAAGTCTAATGAAAGCTTCCATGACAAAGTCAGCTTTCCTGAACACTTCAAGTAGGCTATTCAATTTTTCTTCCCAATTCTGTCTATTGATTTTCAAAATTTCTGACGGTTTCTCCCACTTGCAACCTACATTTTCCACACAGGGATGAAAGGGCAAAACTAAGGCAAGGATCTCCCTGCCTTGGATGAACTTCAAGACACTTTTGATATCTTTAAACAATGTCAGGGCCGATCACAAAGATCCAACAGATATAAGTAGCTGACGACATCTTTCTGGAACCCTGTATTTTGCCATTCATTTATACCAAGCACTCTGTACTTCTTTCTCTGGAGCTGCCAAATCATCATTTCAGAAAGCTCAGTGGTATGAATTTCTTCAAAACGAGGGCTCATGATTTTTGTGACTTCCCCTTCCCTACAGAACTTAAACAACAGCACTGAGAAATCTGGCTGGCTATTTATCCAACTCTGTAATGCTTTTGTATCATCTGTTCTTAGCCTATTTATGTCTAGAACATCTGTCAATGGGTTGCTAGGAAGAGTCTGCTAGATGTTTGTATTTTCACCAGATTAGTTTCAGAGACTACTTAAAATTAACCCAGAACAGAAAACACATTTTAATTTTTAAATGAAGGAATGTAGTTAAAAGTCATTGACTTATTTATGATTGTAGTCATTTCTGTTACCTTGTGATGGGACTTCTGAGCAAAAGCAAATCAATTATTAAGATTTCCTTTCTTGGTGTCCTTGTTGGCCACTCTGGCTCTTACAATCTTTCCACCTCCTCATCCACAGAGTTCCCTGATTCCTGAGAGGAGGGATTTGATGAAGACATGCCATTTAGGACTGAGTATTACAAAGTCTCTCACTCTCTGTACTTTTTCGGCTGTGGGTCTCTGTATTTGTTCCCATTTATTTAAGGAGAAAGCGTCTCTGATGATGGCTGAGACACTTATCTATGAATGTAACAGAATGTCATTAGGAGTAATTTTTGGTTATATTCATTTAGCAGGATTGTAGTGTTTGTTTTTCCCCTAGGTTCCTGGCCTATCTAGTCTCAGGAATTTGGCCATCGAAGCAATGTTTGGGATGGGTTCTATCTCATAGAGTAGGTCTTAAACCAGTTAGATGTTGATTGGTTACTCCCATAAGCTCAGTGCTGCTATTACACTAATGTGTGTTGCAGGCAGGGCACCATTGTAATCAAGGGATTTTTAGTTGGGTTGGTGTTTTACTTTTGTCCTTTGGTAGCATGCAGACTACTTTTTAGTGCCGTGAGTCACTAAGGATGAATAGAGTTTCCCTATGTTAAATGAGTTGTGTAGGTGTTTTCTCCAGTGATTGGGCCTTACTGCCACTTTGTGGAGATTAACCCAGAGCCCTGTCCATAGCCTGAGTTGTTTGTGGATTCCTAAAAAGCCCCTTTGCCAAACAACTTGATTAGATGAAACCCATTCCCAGTTCTAGAAACTTCATTTGGTGCGCAAAACTAGCTAGTTTAAGCTCCATCTTCCCCGTTATTTGGCAATTTCATCTAGATCACCGTCATACATGTGCATATTTTAGGAAGCTTCTACTGTAGTTTCTGTATTACCCCTCAAATGGTGCTTAGCTTTAACAACCACTCCCCATATTCCCTCCCATTTGCCCTTCTTCCTTCCCTTTACCCATTGAACCTCCCATTACAGTCCTCCACCCCCTTGTCCATCCATAACTGTCTATTCTATAAACATATCACAGTGGGTAAACATTAACTCACAGAGACTGGCAGCAAACACAGGACCCACAAGGGTCTGTGCCAGATGGGGTCTCAGTGCTGAGAGAAGTGGACACACACTCCCATCTGTAAACCAGCATCTATCTACAATTGATAACCACTAGCAAATAAAAAATTAGTTTTCTCTAATGGATTCTCCCTAGGGATACAAACCACACTTAAGGTCAGGCTCCATGCCCAGCAGTAGATGGTCAACAGAAAACAAACTCAGTGGCATTATCTAAGGTTCTTTGTCTCAATGTTTTGTCAGGGCTTTTTCTTCCTGCCTTCCTTCCTTCCTCCCTCCCTCCCTCCCTTCCTTCCTTCCTCCTTCCCTCCCTTCCTTCTTCCCTCCCTCCCTCCCTTCCTTTTTTCCTTCCTTTCCTCTTTACAGGCTCTTTGCCTATGTATTATTGTTTCTGGATTTGTGTTTTTATGTCATTCCTGTCTGTGCAAATTTATGTCTCTGCATCTACATGTGTTTTTCCTGAGTTTCCTTTGGCTCTTTTTCTTCTGTTAGTTTTGTCCTGTTTCAATTTGTTTGTTTTTGTCTTACCTTATTTGATTTTTATTACTAATCTTTAGATGCCTGCTTGTTTTTGAAGTAGAGAGAAAGTATGTGGATCCAATTGGAAGGGAAGGTCCGTCAGATCTTGGAGGAGTAGGAAGAAGAGGAACTGTAATAACAATGCATTACTGAAAAAGAATTTTTCTATTTATATAACTTCAAGTGTTAGTGTTAGAAGATTTCTAAATGCAAACCAAAATAGATATATATTGTTTTGTAGAAATATACTTAGTTTTGCAATATTTAGGAATATTAAATATACATTGTTATTTTTAAAAGTTTATATAAAGCTAATATTTTTTTATTTTAATACTATTGTAGAGAAATTTATTTTTACATTTCCTTTTTATATTTTCAACAAGATCTTTTCCTCCATTTTCTTAGTGATAAATATGAGGTGTTTACTTCCAGTAGAACACTAGGAACTGGTATTAAAGCTCTCCTTCTGGTGGTCCATTATTTTACCATTCCCTTAACCTCCACTGAAAATATTCATAGGAGCACGCAATACATAGCAGAAAAAGCAAAGCAGTTAGAATTCATTCTGTTTAAAGGAGACAACCTCAAATGATGAGAGAAATGACATTTATTTTTATTCTTCCTTGACAATATGAGAGAAAACATATGGAAAATTAGCATTAGGGGGTTGATTGTAGCTTTTATTTCTTAGTTTTTTTTTCTTTTTCCTGTTTGCCCATTTATGGAATAATAAGTAAGCATTGACAATTGTACATTAAATTTTGTTATTATTTGCAATAACGTAATCATCAAAATGAGGTTTTCTGAGTACATTTCTGTTTTATTTTTCAAATTTTATCTTTACATTATCATTAAAATTGTGTTTTTATTTGTGTGATCACTTTGTTTTATAATTTTATATCTATGATAAGACATATGTCATCTGACTCTAATTAATAGTTTCACTTTTTATAATTAATTATGCTAATCTCTCTGGACTATGTCATAATATGACATGGAGATTGGAGAATACTTTAATTATTTTGTAATTAGTTAACCTATTATCACAACCCCTCTGATATTTTATGTGATCATTATCATTTGTTTCTCTTCTTGACTGTTCCATTAGTTTTTGCCAATTCTGTCATGTCACTTTGTCATATCTCATTTTTCAAGGTTAAAGATGTCTATTAAATCAAGGGCATGGTTTGTCCCAATCCTGTCCATCTTATGACCTTCAGTAGAATGTTCTGGATAAGTCCTAGAAAAAAATCATGTTCTACAAGATAAAAGAAAAATATAGGATGAATTGAGTGACAGATGTCTTAAGTCTCCTGTAATATTGGTTTAATGAATATGTGACAATTGATCTATATTGTGGATAAGAGCAAGAAATGGATTCAGAATTTGACATTGATGAGAACACAAAGTCTCATTATATATTCTAGGCTACTACACACTCTCAATTGCTCTGTGAACCTAAAGAAAGACTAGTTACTATTTAGTGTGTTCATTTATAGGTACCTCCTTTTATCAGAATTTTTTAGATTATAATTTTGTTACAATGTTTCTTTCTTTCCTTCCTCCAAACCTCCCATAGATCCCTTCCCACTCTCCTTTAAATGTATGGCCTCTTTTTTTCTCTAATTGCTATTGCAAGCATATACTTATATGTACATGCATATATATTCTTAAATATAACCTATTCTGTCTATAAAAATCAATTTGTATGTATATTTTCAGAGTTGACCATTTACCAGTGCACAACGAATTGATGTCTTGTTAGAATTTAGAATTTTGATCAAAGGGAGGAGATACAAAAATACAATTGACAAAGGGTTGACTACTGTTATAATAGTCTTTAATATTTATTGGTAATTTATATTTTACACCTACATTAGATCAAATTAGATTTTATATTTTGTATTTTGCATTTTTGTATTTTGAAACAAAGTGCCTCCCAGAGACAGTTGCTTGCTCTTCTGTAGAAGCTGGGCTATGGCTTATTGGTTCCTAGGATATGTATCTTTGACAGAGATGGCTCTTTATCCTTGATAAAGCTATTCTTAGGAAACAAATTAGCCAAGTGCAAATCTATTCTTCAAAATACAATACCTATGCTTGCCGGATCATGGCCTTCAGGACCTTGTAGCTGCTGCAGCTGGCTGTGTTTTACCATGCCCTGTAGCTGGAAGTTCCTCAAGTCCTGTCTGGCCCTGCAGTTGGACGAATCTCTCCCACTCATGTCCTACACCTGCTTGTTCCCAAGTAAACACACAGAGGCTTATATTATTTACAAACTGTATGGCCTATGGCTAAAACTTCTGCCTAGCTAGCTCTTTAATCTGAAATTAACCCATTCCTATTAATATATTTGTTGCCATGTAGCCATGGTGTTAACTGTCTGCTGGCATCTTGTTGCTCCTTTGGAAGCAGACTAGAGTCTCCTCCACCTCTGCCTTTCTTCTTCCCGTCTTTCTCTTGGGTTTCCTGCCTGGCTATAACCTGACTCACCATAGGCCAGAGCAGCTTCTTTATTAGCCAATCAGAAAGACATCCCACAGCAACGCCCGTGCCTTGATGGACTGCTCCGTAGTTATTTTGTTGTTGTTGTTGCTGCTGCTGCTGTAACAGCTGTTTCCTCACCAGCAGCAACCCATGCAACAGCACCTTGACTTCCAGTACAACTCCATGAGGCATATAGCAGCCTGGTCTTGGGGCAGACAGTACCCCATTGCCTAGCCAGTCCTATGGCAGTGGATACTGTAGCTGCAAGAGGAGAAGCAGTAGATTGGACCCCAGGCCAGCAAATCCACATAAGCCCTCAATAGCACATGCTTGAAGGACAGCCACATACTTTGCATTTGATCTACCAGCAGATTGCTATATCCCTTATAACCAGATATAGGGCCCAGGCCTCTGTCCAGTCTCTAAGGCCACAATTCAAGCATCCACATTTCAGTTCATCAATGTGGATATAGTTTCAGCCTTCCTCACCACAGACTCTTTCCCCCAACCCAGGACCTACAGTCACCATGACCAGGCCCATGAATCAGAGACACTTGAGGATCCCTGAACAGAGTGCAATCCACACCCCTCCCAGTGAATACCACCCACCTGCCCCCAAACAGGAACATGCTATCCAGAGAACTGTCCCTATTTGGTGACACCTTTGGAGACACACTAGAAAAAAGTTCATAGATGGTTTGTAACATTTTGAGAACAATGGGTGTTTGTTGTTTTTCTCTTCACATCCTTAAACAGTTTATACTGAAAACCCAGACATCTACGCTCATTTTATTAAGCACAAACAGGACTATGATGCCCAAGCATGCATGGGCCATTTGAGGTTTAAAGAAACAATACAGATATTATTTTCGATGTTGTTGTTAAAAGCCAGTTGATTTAAATACCCTTCCCATGCCCCCCGCCCCTTTCCATCATGTTTTATTTTAGGAGCAAGGGAATTATGGGAATTCTTTTTGTCATCATTATTGGTACCTCCAGCCTATTAAAATGGGAAAAAATTCATTATATTCACTTTTTGTTTGTTTGCTTTTAGAGACAGAGTTTTTCTGTGTATCTCTGGAGCCTCTCCTGGAACTCACTCTGTAGAACTGGCTCACAGAGATCTGCCTGCCTCTGCCTCCTGAGTGCTGGGATTAAAGACCTGTGCGACCACTGCCCGGCCTTATTTGTATTTTCAATACTTAAGCATTTATGTGTAAAAGTGAGAAGAAAAGTAATACTTAGAAACTGGTTTCAGAAATAATGCTTCTTATAATACGTCCCAATAACAAGCCAATGTCATAGGAAGTTTTCTGTTTGTTTGTTTGGTTTGGTTTGGTTTTTTTCTACAGCGAACTCTGTGGACTTCTCCAAATAGTAATCATAGATGATAGGAATTGACTCTGGCACACACAGATGAATATACCCACAATATGCATTTATACAGTCAGACTAAAGCCAACTTCTTGTCTTACAGATGTAGGAATTGCTGCTTTGTTTCTCTAATAAAACTGATTTTAGACAAAAATAGAAATGATTACATTCTTAGACAATGCTAATGTTAAAAATTACTTAATAATGTATCTATTTAACTTAACATTTAATGACAGAGCATCTTTAATTATATCTGCAGCAAAATATATCTGAATTATATGATTTCACCCAACAGAAATTATTAAATCTCCTAATATACTTTTGAAATTCCCTTTTGTTTTAATGGGTCTTTCTTAATTTTTATTCTCACAATGATCAACTAGCTCACCATTTTCTAAAAGAACATACTTCTAAAAAAGCACTTCAGAGATGCATATATCTAAAAATGGCCTCTCTCAGAGATTTGTTAAGCCTTTTTTACTCCCAATTAACCCCCCACCCAGGCATTGTGCAGATTCAGTTTCTCAATCATCTCTATAAAGTCCACAGATTTCTTCTTTTCTTTAAACATGCCAGAGAGCAACAGCACCTGCTGTGACTAGAGAAAAGCAAAATGTGAACACAATGTTAGCCATGGCCTTTATCCCCCTTCAGAGTCATTAGGCAGTAGGAGCCTTGAGAATATAGATGAAATAACAATATTCAAAACGGTAGTAAAGTCTCTTTTCAATTAGAAAAAGAAAGTATATTGCAGTTTATCACTTGATACTTTCAGTTAATTTGCAGGAAGTCTAAGAAAATGGCTGAAAAACACACTTAGTGTTTATTTGACCCCTATGTACAATGAACAAATATCTACCAAGATAAGCAATTAAAACAAGCTAGTAAAGACTGGATTTCAGGGGAAATACCACCCTCCCGAGTAGACATTTACTTAATTCTAAAAGTACTTGAGAAAATTAATCATGTGCTTTTTGTCTATACAGAAGACAATCCTATAAGTCAGGTTTGCTCTTAAAATCCTAGTATTTAACAATATTTGCCTTTCAGCATTTGTTAATTTAAAAACCCAACTTTTAAAATTCCAGTAATAATGGAATATTTGAGGGAACATAATAAAAATTTGAGTTTTTCATATGTGAGTATTTGGTTTTATTAAAGTACATGGTCTGGGTAAACAAATAGTCATGAGAAGGTCATGGTTGATTAAATACACAATGTCATCATCATTCAGACATACTAAAGCAAGTTGTACCACCTAGGAATATG